TGACTCAGAAAAAAATATAGCCAGTCTTAATGTAGCACATATCACACAATGAACCTCAGATGACTTTGGGCATCTAATTGCTCTGTACCAATATCAAAATGAGTCACGAAAAAGGGAGGTAAGTGCTCATCTAAAGTATTTACTGGAGTGAAAAAGGATAGAAGAGGGAATCTTCATGATGGCAAAGTTCTCCAAATGTTCCTATTTACTGATGATGTTGTATGAATTTGAATGAAGCCCTAGTATATGCTACACAAAGCCTCCTTGGTAAAAATCTATAATTATTGAAGACATTGTTCTAAATAATCAACTAACAACACTAGAAAAATCAGAGCACATGAAAAATGTGTAATGCCAAGATTGTGAAATGTAGCTGGATGTGATCTCCTTTATTAGGATGTAAGCTCCTTGAGGGCAAGGACCATGTTTTTGTCTTTCTTTGTTTCCCCAGTGCTTGGCACATAGTAAATGCTTAACATATGCTTACTGTTTGCCTAACTGACCGGATGGGCAGCCCACTGAACTAGTCCGGTGGTCCATATGTAGTGGACAAGAGCTAGAGATGGATAATGTTCTGGGCCCAGAACTAGAGGAAATTAAGCTGAACTGCATTTGGGAAATTGTGCCATCTTTTCAATAATTCTAAGTTGCTGATTGCTACAGGAGTCCATATTTTCTTTTTTAACACCAATGTTTTCCTGGTGATGACCCATTGTTCCTAATCATGGATCACCAGGGCGTCAGGAAGACAAAAACTATAAAATATTCCAAAGGGCAAATGAAAGCTGTGTAATGGGCTAAAGTACATTACCTATAATGACTTGAACCAGTGTTAGTAAGGACATAGATACTGGAGGTTGGTAACGTAGGGTCCTTGGTAATCCCAGGATGAATGCTAAACTGACCCTAAAGAAACACTGAAGCAATTAGAGGAAAACTTCTAGAACACTGGGTGAATGCCTCTCAGAGAATAAAGGACAAGATCACACAGGACAGAAATAGCTAGAGGGAAAAATCACAAGTTCATCAAGTCAGTCAAGTAAGGAACACTAAGTATCATGTGGCAACTGTTACTGTTGTTCTTCAGTTGTGTCCCACTCTCTGTGACCCCTTTTGGGGTTTTCTTGGCAAAGATACTAGAGTGGTTCACTATTTCCCTCTCCAGCTTATTTTACAGGTGAGAAAACTGAGGTAAACAGGGTTAAGTGACTTGCCCAGGGTCACGCAGCTAATGAGCGTCTGAGGCCAGATTTGAACTCAGGAAGATGAGTCGTTCTGACTTCATGCCCGGCACTCTATCCACAGTGCCGCCTTGCTGCCTCTATCAAGTGGCAGCCATGCCTTTAAATATTCCACAGCTATCAATGTACTCACTAACTCTCCTACTGTTTTTTGAAGAAATAAAAATGCCCTATCATTCATTGTCATTGTTTCCATTTTATAGAAGTGATTGAGACAAAGGCTAAACAAATTTGCCCTACACTAGTTTCAGTATCTTGTTACTCTTAATTAGCTCTACAGTGCCTGAGCTACCCCCTTAAGACAATGAATTTATTCTATTTCTCTTTGGGGATAAGTTGATACAGTAATGCAAACTTGCAAAGAATGCTCTGTGTCCCCTGTGGCAGTTTATAAGAAAGGGGAAGTGACATCTTTCTTCTGCTTGGGCAGGTCCAAGCCAGGCACAAGTTGAAATTTAGTGCCCAAATAAAAGAAAGCCCAAAATAGCGAATAGCTAGAGTACTGATGGAGGAAGATGGCAGTGAATGTGGCTTTAGGCAGCTGCTTATCAATGCTCCCTCTGCAAAGAAACCCAGAAGTGTGTGAGCACAGCCAACATGCCTTAGAAATATTGAGGGAACATTTTTAAATTATCCTAGTCTGAAGCATTTGGACTAATCTGAAAGAGAAACCCTTAACAATCTTTCTTTAACCATCAGTTCTGAAACAATGCTCTACTCCTTTCTTTCCAAAACAGCTACAGGAAGGACTCCTTCCCTGAAGTCATTAGGGCAGTGATGAGATGGAGACAAGGCCTAGAGATCCTTGAATAGTTTACCAAAAGGAATTAGAATAATGACGCACCTAAAGGCAGCACTAGGGCAACTAGGTGGCACCATAGTGCATACAGTGCCGGGCCTGGAGTCTGGAAAACAGAGTTCAAATCTGGCACTTCCTAGCTGTGTGACCCTGGGAAAATCACTTCACCCTATTTGTCTCAGTTTCCTCAGCTGTAAAATGAGCTGGAGAAGGAAATGGCAAATAACTCCAGTATCTTTGCCAAGAAAACCCCAAATGGTGTCAGGAAGAGTCAGACATGACAAAAATGATTGAAGCTGAACTGAAGGGCAATATTTTTCCTCATTTCACAAAGGAGTTGGAGTCCTGACCAGAAGTGAAAGGACCTTTGATTATTACAGATAACCTATTATTAGTTAGATGGGGGTTGGGGGTGGGGTATGAGCCCTTGAGGCAAAAGGTCAAAGAATAATTTGGTGATTTTATGAGGAAGATTCTCCTGGGACTTCTGAAAAAATTAAGTGAATATTGTTCTGTTGAATGTTAGACCTAAACTGTGTAACATGTTTTGTCATATTGTGAAATGTGCTTTGTTCAAGATTCCTATAAATGTTATTTCAAGATGCCCTGTCTCAGAGACATGTCAGAAAGTAGGAAAGGATTCTGTCAGTTTAGAGTGACATTTCTCTCTGCGGCAGGACAATGATTGAATTTAAATTAATAAAAAATGTTTAAATAATCAAATTATAAAAACTATAGTCATATTATTATTATTTTTTGGGTTAGGCATTGGGGTTAAGTGACTTGCCTAACATCACACAGCTAGTTAGTGTTATATGTCTGAGGTCAGATTTGAACTCAGGTCCTCCTGAATCCAGGGCCGGTGCTCTATCCACTGTGCCACCTAGCTGCCCCTATAGTCATATTATTAAAGCAGTAATATTATGATAGTTAAAAATATTAATTATAACAAAAAGATTTGTGCTTGAAGCGCAGAGCATGCTATTAATTTTTTTCTTCTACAAAAGTGAGAGTGAAGATTGAAAATTGTAGTTTCCTCTCAACATTAAAGAAAGGGTGTGTGTGTGTGTGTGTGTGTGTGTGTGTGTGTGTGTGTGTGTTGTGTGTGTGTCAACGAAGTCCCAGTAGAGAGCTACAGGCATAGCTAACTTTAAGTAAGCATACACATCTACATTTCAATCAAACATTTATTGAGTACAATCTGACCCTGAAGTACCTTTCCAGGCTTGCCATGGGTAATTTTCCTCCGTAGACTCTACAATTCAGCTAAACAGGCCTTTTTGCTATTCCTAATATAAGACATCTCTGTGTCCTTGCACTGACTGTCCTACATCAATCAATCAACATTTATTAAGCACCTTTAACGTGCTAGGCACTGTGCCAAGCGCTAGTGATGCAAAAAGAGGTAAAGGAAATCCCTGTTCTTAAGAAGCATATATTCTAATGTGTGTGGGGGAGAAGACCTCAGCAAACACACACACACACACACACACACACACACACACACACACGCAGAGACACACACACACCCACCCACCAGCAAGTTATATACTGGATGAACAGATATAATTAACAGAGGGAAGGCATTAGAATTAAGAGGGGTTAGGGAAAGCTTCCAGTAAAACAAAGTATCTTAATTGGAAGCTAGGAAGGTCAATAGGTTTGGTGAACGAGGGATTTCACTCCAGGCATGGGAGATGGCCAGACAGAAAGCTTAGAGCTGAGAGATGGAGCACTTTGTGCATGGAACAACCAGGAGGCCAGAGTCACTGGATAGAAGAATATGCAGTGAGGAACAAGGTGTAAGGAGACTGGAAAGGTGGTAGTACTGGCCAGAGGAGGCAGGAGCTAGGTTATAAAGGGCTTTGAATGTCAAACAAAGCATTCCTATAGGCAATAGGGAGCCATTGGAGGTGTGTGTGTGTGTGTGTGTGTGTGTGTGTGTGTGTGTGTGTGTGTGTATACACGCATGCTTGCTCTCTCGAGCTTGTTGGCATGGTGGGACTAATGCTTTAGGAAAATCACTTTAGTATCTGGAGGATAGATTGGAGCAGGGAGAGATTATATACCTGAAATGCTTTCCTCACCCCTTCACTAGCTTGCTGACTCCTGGCCCCCAATTCATAGAAGCCATAGTTTTCTTTAAAACGTAAGTGAAGTTCAGCCATCAACACAAAACCTTTGCTGATCCCCAAAACTACTAGTATCCTCCCATCCCAAATTACCATGTGTTTATTTTGTATGTACTTAAATAGATACACATCATATTTCCTATAAAAGAATGAAGACTCCTTGTGATCACGGACTGTTTCATTTTCTCTTTGTATCTCTGACACTAAGTACAATGCCAGACACATAGTTAGCAGTTAACAAACGTTAGCACTGAAGATAAATTGAGTTGGGGAAAAATTTTTTTTTAATAAAAACTGAGGTTCACAATGGGATCTCTCTAAATAACAAATTTCTCTAATATATTAGGGAATATTTTGTCAACTAGGTGGCAAAGTAGTTAGAGTGCTGGGTCTGGGGCCAGAAGGAACTAAAGTCAAATCCAGCTTCTGACATTTCCTGGCTATGCAAACCTGAGCAAGTCACTTGACTCTTGTTTGCTTCAGTCTCCTCACCTGTAAAATGGGAATAATAATAATAATAATAAGACCTACCTCCCAGGGCTGCTGTGGGAATCAAATGAAATAATATTTGTAAAACACTCTGTAAATCTTCAAGTGCTTATATAAATGATAGCTATTATTGCTGTTATTATTAAAATATACTATTCACACAAATTCTATTCATGCAAACCTTTCAGAAATACTTCTCACATAAAGTGAGATCTACATATATTAAAATTTGGATCCCTAAGAAATGTATCAGCCTCTATTTCTGAGTCGTATATGTCTGAAATCCTATTTACCCAGAGAAACATGATTTAGTTAACAAATAAAATTAGTTTTCCTTACTCAGCCTTGACTGAAGCATCCCAGAGTTATTATTTGCTGTGTCATTAAGTCTCAAAGTTCCTCTGCCCCTTTCAGTCCAAGATTGTGTTGTCTTTTTAAATACAAAGAGTTTGCAGTTGATCTAAATGAAAAATAAAAACAAAGACAACTTGTTATATGGGTAAATTTGTTCTGAATCAAGTATCTTCTGTAGGTCCATTTTCAGATGATCTCAATGTTATGAAGGATGGGGATCTATGACAATCAGAAAAGAAATTTAAGATGTCCTATAATAATGAGCGTATGATATAGCTTAAGAGTAGCCCAACCACTCCAATCTACTGTTTGAACTAAATGTCACAAGGTCATGGAGAAGGAAGAAGAGAAGGGAAAGAAGGGAGTCCTGAGAGAAGCAGACTCTGGGGTTTGAAAACATTTGCATGATTGCTTTAAATTTTATTTCCTATCATTGGATTGAGAGTCATTAAACTTGTCATGCAAATCTGCATAAACAATATACAAATTAAAGCACTCTACATGGCTCAGTATATGAACATAAGGGAAATTTTGATTTGGACAAAATGTCAAACAAACTCACTTAGCTGAAAGAACTTTGACAAAGTAAAAAAACAAAACAAAACAAAAACCAACAGTGAAGAAAGTGCCAGGAGTCAGATCTCAGGCATTTACTCGATGTTTAACCTTTGACAAGTCACTTAGACTCTGTTTGTCTCAGTTTCCTCATCTATAAAATTAGGATAATTAATGGCATCTACCTTCCAAGGTTGTGGTGAGTAACAAATGAGGTAATAATTGTAAAGTGCTCAGCACGGTGCCTAGCACATAGTAAGGGTTACATAAATGTATATTATTATTATATTAATAATTACTATAATTATCAATACTATTGTAATATTGTTATAATATTATTATTGATTCCTATATTCCTTATCTTGGATGTAGGTCATCTTTTCAATACAGCATTTCATAAATATTGTGAGATAGATATATTTCTTTCAGAACTGTTTAATTATAGCATTGATTATAAAAAACAGTTACCACTGGGTTTTTTGTTTTGTTTTTTGGCCCTAAATCTTAGGTCAATCAAATCACTGATACAACTGAGTATGTGAGAGGTAGGACCTATTGTAATATAGCCTACTAGGGTATCTTTTTTCAACAGAAACTAATTATGAACAGGTCCTTTTCACATAAGAGGCAAAAATCCAAGTAAAATAGTGGTTCAGTCTAGTTCAAAGTTAATATTAATTTACAAGCTTTTTCCAGGAAAGATATTACTGTCCTTCATCTTCAAAGATGACCCTCCTGATGGTTATCAGTCATAGGAATGTTGACAAACTCACCTTTAACACATTATGTTCTTCTTCCTCTCCTGTTATAACTTCAATTTTCTCCAGTATACATTTTGGTGATGACTTGGAGGAAAATGCAGCTGCTGATTCCTTCAGAGTTGTATTTTTACAAGAGCCTATTCCCAAAAGAAAATGAAATTAAGCAATCTTCACACTGTGGTTATTTGCCATTCTTGGAAGATGTTCTTTGTTGATATAAATTAACATAAGCATTGTTTTGGCCATCAATAACCTTCTGTTTCCAAAACAATCTTACTGCTACTAATTAAGCTCAAAGACTAGTTGAGTTTCTAAATAAAATCTTATATGACAATTCAAATGAAGTTCAAATTATATGGCATTTAACAATCCAAAAGGGTTAAATATTAATTTTATTTATTTATTTGCATATGTACATTATTTTAAAATACTTTTAAATCATATATATGTATTAGCAGTACATTAAGTATATCTAATTTCACTCTAAAATATGAGCTATTCTTAACAATACTCATGCATACGTGATCTCACCACAGACAAAACGTAGAGAGAAGAGAAGAAGAAAAGCAGAGAAGAGGAATCCTTACTTGTCCATGAAAAGTGGAGAGGAAAAGACACAGAGGAAGTGAATGGCTTTTCTTTATTGTATGGATCCTTTTCTTGGTGAAGCTCAGTGAATTTTTGTGGACTCTGAAAAACAAGATGCATTCTTTAATACTGTCCTTCATATACACTAACTCAAAAGTTTCTGTTCTTTTACACACACACACAGACACACACACGTGTGTGTGCACGCACGAGCGAAGCAATTTCTTTTTAATCAAATTAGCTTTTTCCTGATCAGTACCAGATAATGAAATAGTTATATGAATACCATTCCTGGTTAGTGAACATTTATTAAACATTTTGTACCCTTGATCCCATCTCCTACAGTCTCCTCTGGGAGCTCTCCCCTATAACCATTCCTCATTTCTCTCATTTACCACCTCCTCTCATTTACTTGCTCTTTCCTCAATACCTACAAATATGTGCAGGACTTCTCCATCTTTCATAAAACAAAAACTGCTCCACTTGACCCTGCCACCCTCTTAAAATTCCATTCTTTATCTTTTCTCCCTTTACCAAACAAAATCTTTGCAAGCTTCACCTACACTCTTGTGTTGCTTTCCTACCCTCTTCCTCACTTGTCAACTCCTTTCAGTGACTGCCAACTTCTCCCCTGAAACCACTTTTTCTAAAGTTATCAACAATCACTTAACCTCTGTCCCATTTCAATATTTTTGATCTTCATCCCAGGAATGGATTCTTTCCTCCTTTTCTATCTTTAAAAGTTCCTCTCTTCCTTTCCAGGACCAACTAGGAAGCTTCCTCTGAGTTCATGCCTAGGTGAAAGCTATCTTTTTTTTTAACTTAAATTTCCTTCGTATCTTGAACCTCATACCTCTGTACTTGTTTTTACTTTTCCTTGTGTGGTTGTATCCACATCTGCCTTGTTGCTTCACAGTATCTTATACTCAATATATCAAGGATCTGTGGCTTCATAGGTGCCAAGAGCCCCTCCACCTTGTTCTTGTTGTTGTTCAGTCATTCAGTCATGTCCAACTCTTCATGATCCCATAGATGATAGCTTGCCAATACTGTCCATGGGGTTTTCTTGGCAAAGACATGGAGTGGTTTGCCATCCCTTTGCCAGGTCCCTCCACCTACCCAATATGAAACTTGCAACTTATTTTTTGAAAGTTGCTGAAGGCTTAAACAGGTTAAGTGACTTGTCCCTAGTCCCTCAGCTAAGGTCAGGTCTTGCACATAGGTGGTGTTTAATAAATGCTTGTAAAATTTAATTTGAAATCTTAAACCTTAATAGATTAAACATTGACTTAGTTATCAGAGCTTCATGAATTCCAGCACAGTACCTTGTTCAAGTGGGTGCTTAATAAAATTTGAACTAGCAATCACTAATTCAATTTTTTTGAGTTTATGCCCCAGGAGTAAGTCATTCAAAAGTACCGCACCTATGTTTTCTATCCCCTAACATTTCAATGGTAATTGTAATGGTTTTCATCGCTGTACTTCAACAGAACATTGTTTTGTGAGGATGCATTAACAAATGATTAAAAAGCAGTTTGCTGATGTTCAGTGCCATTGAAATATGCTAAATAACAATTCTATTACCAATTGAGCATATCTAAGTGTCTTTAGTACTGCTGAGATTTACCTCCCCCCACCAAAATTGTGCCTTGATTAACATATGCCAAAGCACTTATATAACAGTATTACAAATGTAATATACTGTAATTATGCAGCTCCTTTCCTCTGAGGTTTCCAAGCTATTATCCTAATAACTAGAACATGCTTCCCATGAGGTTCCTTTTGTTCAAAGGGGAAAAAAGCATATCATTTCATCAAAGAGAGCTGAAGAAAAGTATATTAGAATTTAACTACTGTTTTGATGATGTTGCTATTAGAAGCACTAAAATGAATTTTTTCTTATAAGTGATAATTGAATTCTTTGATAATTGAAATCTTACCAAAACTCTCTCATTCATGTTTTCTCCAAAAATGAAATTGGAACTATGGCTTTGTAAAGAATGTCTGTCTTCATTTAGTTGACTTCTGAGGAAAGAAAGAATTTTTAAAGTATTATTTTTCAAAATGTGATGATTATCAGCCATTCCATATACATATACATATATATATTTTTTTAAAAGATGAAAAGACTGGATGACAATATAAATTGAAACTGAAAACAATCTATGTTACAAATTCAAAACACTATAGTTAATATTGGATGATAGCTGATAATGGAAAGGTGACAAAAAGCAAAACTGTTGTAGATATTTTGAAGCCTCTCACCTCTTTAGTCTCTCTTCCCTATTTAAGCTCTTTCTCCATTTCCACCCCCAGGAAGCCAGCACTGTTTCCTACAAAGTCTCCCTAAATCTAAAGCAAAGAGCTCTGATAAGTCAATAATGCTCCACAGAAAATTTGCCTAATATCTTACCCCTAGGAGGAATATTAAAAAAAAAAACCCACTTGCAGAGATAGGGAGCTAAAAGGATTACATTTCTGAAAGTAGAATTTCAGCACCTGGGTCAATGGAAATTTTTGAGTTGGGGTGAGTGAAGGGAAGGAAAGATATTCCCAGCCTCTTCAAACCATACCTGTAGATACTAGCAATAATCCACATTCATATAGCAGAAGGTTTTCTTAACAACATTATGAAGCAGACAGCACAAGTATCATCCCCATTTTATAGATGAGGAAACACAGTGACTTGCCCATGGTCACATAAGTACAATAATGGTACTCATAATAGCTCAGGTTTATACAACACTTGAAGGTTTGCAGAGCACTTTACACATAATATCTCATTTGGTTCTAATAACCAGTGAGATGTGTGATTAAAATATGATCCTATCTTATAAATGAGAAATCTCAGAGACGTTAAGTGACTTGCCCCTGATCACACAGCTAGATCTAGGTCTCCTATCATAGCATACCTATACTTCAATGAAATATCTAGCTTGATTTGCTCTGCCTTGACGTCAAACATTTCATCAGATAATACAAATAAAAACTACTCTGCTTTCTTTCCCATCTTCTTTCCTTTGTCAGAGTCTTGTGGAAGTAAAGCAATAACAAGGAAGTAGGAAAGAAAAAGAGAGTTCAATAACCTGGATAATCCACTCCAATATATATCAAGGTGTTATTATTTTTTTTGGTAGCTCAAAGTCCAAAGTCCATCAAGAATCATTTCAGAAGCATGTGAAATACACATGCATACACATAGATATAATATAGTAATCTTAACAATCTATCTTTGTAATCTCAATTCTTTTTTCATGAAAAGTTAAAAAAAATAAGGGAAATTAGAGCAAAAACACCAGAAATTACTATTTAAATTGCTCTCCCCCCTTTATTAACTCACCTTATTGGGGTAGGACTTAAAAGGTATGAGCTAGTACATGATTTGAGTAAGGGGTGAGTACTTGCTGAATTTTCACTCTGCATATGAGGATTCTCTTCAGAAAGCTGAAAGAAAAAAATGCTATCATAAAAAAAGATTATGTTAACTCTGCTTCTCAGAAAATAGATACTAACAAGAATTTTACTGTTTTTAAACCTTTTAACTGGTCAGTTTTTGCCTGCTTTATGATTAAGTGTGACCCAAAATTTTCATGTACCTTAGTCAATTAGCTGGGGAAATGATTGAAAGTTAAAGGAACCTCTTTGACTTTTAATTTTTAAACTAGTTAGCAGAAGTCAATTCCTATGCCTGGATCAGTGATGCCACATCTCTAGACTGTAAGGCCAACACCATTATTTCACTGAAAAAAAGCATGAATGAATGAATCCATGAAAAAAAAAGCTTTTATTAAGCACTTACTATGTATAAAGTACACTGCTAAGTGTTGAGGATACAAATAGACAAGCAAGAGAGTTTTTGCTTTCAGAGAGCTTACAATCTAACGGGGGTGACAGCACATTTAAGAGGCTTTAACTGTGTGAGATAAAGAGGCCCCGTGTTTTAAGGGTGCAAAGCAGATTGTAAAGTATCTTCTTTAGCGTCATTTCTACTGATAAAATGCACTGGTTTTTCCATGTTGAACTATCTGATGGTGCCAAGGACTGGTGGTTAGAGCTTCTTTTCTGAGTCTTAGGAGGTGTGGGTAGATTTCATCTCCACATCTTCCTGAGATTGCTTCCCAGCATGAGGGCTGTGGGTGTGGGACCTGTGGTCTGGGGGGTGTTCCACTCCCAGGGCTCTTGGTTTTACGTATCCATTGATGGAAGTTGGTCACAAGTTTGTGTTGTTGAGGAAGGTAGGTCCTCCACAGTGATTGCTCCCTTCAGTGATGAGTGCAGGACCTGGGCTGGGGGTAGAACTGGTAGTCAGGGGGGTAAGTCTAATCCCAAAGCTCTTGGGTGGAGGTCCTGGGCTGTCTTTATTGGGGTCTGAGGTGGTTGTTTTAGTAGCGGTGGTGGTTTAACCAGTGTGTCATGTGCAGCCTCTTGTATTTCCCTCAGCTTCCCTTCCTGCTTTGGCTAAGTTGACTTGCCTGCCCGACAGCGACAACATTGGCAGTACCATTATCTTTCTCTAAATTGGTCAGAAACCCATCTTCAGCTTTACTAGAAACCTTTTTACTCTTTTAACTAGTTAATCCTAATGTGTAAATATACATATGTAGATATATTTATATATTATCATTAAAATTTGAGCTGAAAGGCTCCGTAAGTCACCACCCACCCCCTCCTTCCCTCATTTCTCAAAGAACCTGAAGTCCAGATGGATCAGGTGATTTGCCCACAGTCCAAAGCTGGCACTATGTCAGAACCAGGATTAACACCGAGTTAACTAAATTTTCATTGAGTAAATAAAACGGACTTGTTTTGTTTTGGTGCTAACACCTTCGTAGTGTTGCTCTCCTTGAATGAATGAAAACTCGATTAGTAAGTGCTTATTATATGTATAGCACTGTTACAATGAGGTGTGAGAGGGAAATAAACCAATCCTCAACAGTTAAATGGAAATAGACTTCTTGGCTAGAGTCAAACTTCCAATAGGGCCCTTTCCTACCTTTTTAGTTTATTTACACCTCATTACATTTCTAGAATTCTGAGATCTAGCACAGATCACTCTTGTCTCCCAGCTGTGCATTTCCCCTCATCGTTCCCCCAGGCTTAGAATGCTGTCCCTTATCACCTCTGCCTCTTAGTGCTTCGAGTCCCAGCTAAAATTTCATCTTTTACAAGATGCCTTCACTTGAATGCTAGTATTTCCCTGTGAGATTATTTGCAATTTTCCCGTATATATTTTGTTTGTACATAGTTATTTCCATATTGTTTTCCCTTTAGACTGTGAGTTTTTAAAAACTAAGACTGTCTTTTGCCTTTCTTTGTATCCCAGAACTTAGCACAGTACCTGGGACATAGTAAGTAACAGATGCTTGTAGATTCAATGTGGGCTCAGAGAGCCCAAAGGCAAAACTTAAGGTAAGTAGAATTATCTTCCAAAGCCCATTCCCAGGAGCATATTGTCTCCACTTTCCTAAGGTTTAACCCATCCCAGCTGTGACATTTCATCCCTGGAACTCCTTGCTTTGATATTCCCTTACTTCATTCCATCATCCATTCAAAGCTCTCCCTGGGTGATAATAAGTGGGGAAGGGACAAACTAAACCTTCCTATCATACAAACTAGCTAATGTAGTTCCAATAGAAACAGATAACATTATTTGGACACAATTAAGATATCCACAAAAAGACCCCTGTAGTGATTCAATGTAATTCCACTTGACATACATTTATTATGTCACAGAGGCTATTTTTCTTACCTCATTTTTTGATTTTTCACTGGTCTTGTAAAATTCCTTGGCCTTGGCATGCTCAAATGCATTTCTTCCTACACATTTCTGAGATTGAGGTGGTTGCAAAATGGCAGGTCTTAGAATGGGACATCGTTGACTACGCTCCCAAGGGCCTTAATAATACAGAACAGAAGGATAAGTATAGTTTTGAAACAAAATGTGTCCACCAATTTGGGGGCCAGTAAAAGGCAAGATTTCTTCAGGAAAGAAAGGGTTGAGACAACCACATTTAATCCTGATTCACTCCTTTCTTCATCCTATCTAGAAGTCAAAACAAAACAAAACAAAAAATACCCCCAGTATGATGGGTTAGCAATTTACTCCGTGACGAGTACACTGTACTCGTCTAACACCTGACAAGAGGGGAAGGATCTGAATCAGCAAGAATTGTCTTTGACTCTGGTTCACTAAAATATGTATAGTCAATAAAAACCTTCAAAGCACATTAAGCTGTAATGGTGACTACACAAAAAGGGTTGGGGGGGAGGTAGGGTACATAACTTAAACGTCCCACTTCTGACCCACACTATCAGGGTGACCAAGGCAAAGTCATGTACCCTTTCAGTTCCCCAGATGACTCTCTAAAACTGCAAGTTATAGTCTTCCAGGAATAAAGATATCTGACACAAGAGAGTTCTTCTATGTTGACAAACATCTAAACCCCAACCAAATAATAAAACCAAAGTGACTACATACCTTTTTCTGTCCTGGCAATGTCAACATTCCATTGTGAAGCAGTTGTGGTCATAAAAACATTATTTTTCTTAACTGTAAAATAAATATTTAAAGCACTTTTAAATTTCTTTGATGACTTAAAAAAAACCAAAGAAATATAATCTATTACACATATAACCTTTAACCATGTGTTGTTCAGTTATTTTTTCAGTTGTGTTTGACTCTCATTTGGGGTTTTCTTGGTAAAGATATTGGGGTGCTTTGCCATTTCCTTCTCCAGCTCATTTTACAGATCAGGAAACTGAGACAAATGGGGTTAAATGACTTGCCCAGGGTCACACAGCTAGTAAATGTCTGAGGCCAGATTTTAACTCATGAAGATGAATCTTCCTGACTCCAAGGCCAGGACTCTATCCACTTCACCATCTAGCTGCCCTAACCTTTAACCACACCATCACCCCAATAAACACACATTCACAGCTACTTATATTTTTTAGCCCCAGGGGTAAAAACGCTGGATTTGGAGTCAGAAGATGGGTTGGAAACAGCTCTGCCGCTGATGAGCTGTGTGTCATTTCCCTTTTCTAAACCTCATTTCCTCAGCTATGAGGCAAGGAATGAGATTGGACTATGATCTCTAAGGAGGCCTCTAGGTCTAGAACTGTAAGTAAGACTATGACCTGAAAATGAATTTCCGCATGCAATATATTGGGCAGGTTAGTGTGGTGGAAAGAGCGCTAGACCTGGACTCAGTGGATATCAAGCTTTGAATCTGCCTCTGAAACTTAACTGGGTAACTATTTAAATTCTCTGAAATTCAGCTTCTTCATCTGTAATATAAAGTGACTGGTAATAATAGATACCACTCATACAGAGCTTTAAAGTTTGCAAAGCTTCAAATGTCATCTCATTTCATCCTCACAACAACCCTTGGAGGTAGGTACAATTATTATGCACATTATACAGATGAAGAAACTGAGACAGGAATATTTAAATAACTTTTCCACTGCTACACAAGGAGTATCTGAGGCCAGATCCAATACTCCACCCATGTCACTACCTATTGCTTCTAATGCTTTTAAGTATCCACCATAAATTGGAGGAACAAAAGAGAGTATGTATGTAAAACACTCTATAAACCTCCATGTATTATATTGTTGTTGTTCAGTCAAGTTTCAGTTGAATTTGACTCTAGGTAACCCCATTTGGGGTTTTCTTGGCAAAGATATTGGAGTGGTTTGCCATTTCCTTCTCCAGCTCATTTTACAGATGAGGAAACTGAAGCAACCAGGGTTAAGTGACTTTCCCAGGGTAACACAGCTAGTAAAGTATCTGAAGCCAGATTTGACTCAGGAAGAAGAGTTTTCCTAACTCCAGGCAGGCACTGTCTACTATACCACCTAGCTGCCTCAATGTGATATATCTATATCTATCTGTATATACACATATGTGTGTTATATCATATATGTACATATATGTTTATATGCATATATTATATATGTATAATTAGCCACTTTCTTTGTAACCCTTTTAGATTTCCATTTATTTTATGTCCTCTTCCCCTTAGAAGATAAACTACTTAAGAGCAGATTGTTTCTTTTTGGTTCGATTATTTTTATATTTTTATCACTTAGCAAAGTGCTTATTGATCTCCATCTTTTTTCTTTCTAGCTAACAGTAGTCATTGTAGATACTGTTTCTGCTTGCTTTTCTTCACGTTATTTTATATAAGTCTTCATAAAAGTATCCATATTCCATTATTTTAATGGCATCATAACATTCTCTAACATCGATTATTTAAAACATTTTTTATCTGTGAAAATATGATTTGCTTGCTAGTTTCTACACTCTGGGGAGGGTTTAGCTGTCCTGTGGTAAACTTACCACTAGATGTCGCTATTGGCATTGAAAGAACAAATAGGCGGGCTGACTTTGCTTAGGTTAGTTTCTGTCACTTTGTTACCATGTGAGATAAAGCTAGAAAGTTGGTGGATAATTGCGAATACAGGCTCTTCTAGGGGAGAGGAGAGAGAAGAAATAGTATGCTAAGGAAAATCCTTGATTATGAGGGGTGTCTGGTGTGAATGGACAACTAAGTCTCTAACATTGTAAACAGCAAGACCATTTATGCTGCACTGTTAAGTGAATGATGAATTAATCCACACGAATTGATGTTTCTTTTTATGTTATCATATACTGGCAATTCTTCAGGCCTGGAATACTCTCCCTTCTCTCTGCCTCCTGTCTTCTTCCCCAGTTTCCTTCAAGTCTCAGTCAAAATCCTACCTTCTATAAGAAATCTTTCCTGATCCCTTCCAATATCAGTGCCTTCCCCTGACTGATTATCCATTTTATCCTACATATAGCTTGTTTATACATTGGTGTTTCATAATGTCTCCTCTATTGGACAGTGAGCTCCTTAAGATCAGGGACTGTCTTTTTTCTTTCTTAGTATCCAGAGAGCCAGGCTCATAGTAGGTACTTAATACATGCTAATTGATTGACTGACAATACTTTGATGAATCTACAATCTCATTGATAACAAATAGAACTCATGTTATGTGGAACATGGATTAGAGAGGGGAAAAAACACGAGTCACAGAAACCAATTAGAAGGCTATTTCAGTAGTCTGGATGAGGTAATAATGGATTAGGGTGGGTGACTGGGTAGAGAAAAGGGGACAGATGGGAAAGATGTAGGGGTTTGTCAACTGGTTAGGTATGTAGGGTGAAGAAGAATGAGGAGCTGATGATGACTCTGAGGTTGTGAATCTGGGTAACTAAAAGAATGGTTGCACCCTCAACCAAAATAAGAAAATTAGGAAGAGGGGTGAGGTTGTTTTTTTTGGGGGGGGAGAATACTGAGTTTTGAATCCCTACTTTTCCTCTAAAATTCAGTTCAAATACAACCTCCTACATTAGGCCTGTCCTGAGTCCTTTCACTTGTTAGTGCAGCCACCTCCCTTAAAAATCATTTTGTATATATTCTGTACACACACATATATACAGTTTCTCCAAATGAATGTAAGCTCCTTGAGGGCAGGGATTAAATTTGATTTTAGTCTTTGTATTTCCACCACCAAGCATAGTACCTTGCACATAACAGGTAAATATTTATTTGTTTGCTTAATAGTAACAATAACTGTCATTTACATAATATTTTTAAGATTTACAAAGTGCTTTGCACATATTATCTCACTGGATCTCCACAATAACTCTGTGATGTACATGCAAGTATGATCCCTATTTTACAGATAAGGAATTGAGAAACTGAAGATTGAACAGGTTAAATGACTTATTCCTGTTCACACAGCTGCTAAGTGTCAGAGACTCAGTTTGGGACCAGATTTCCCAACTCCAAGACTAGTGGTGATATCTACTATATCAGGTGGTTTTAAGAGATGTTAAAAGATGGACTCTTTCCACTAGTGCAAAATGCATGCAGACCTTCTCATGTTTTTCAGTTCTTGGTGGTACAGTAGAATGCTGGAGTCAGAAGACTCAAGTTTAAATCCCACTTTAGACTCTTACTAGTTGTGAGACCTTGGGTAAGTCACTCAATCTCTGTTTACCTTAATTTCCTCAACTATAAAACGGGCATAACATTAGCACCTACCTCCCAGGGTTGTTTTGTTTTGTTTTTAGGCAATCAAGGTTATATGACTTGCCCAGGGTCACATAGCTAGTATGTGTTTAAGGCTGGATTTGAACTCAGGTCCTCCTGACTCTGACACTAGTGCTCTATTAATTGCACCACCTAGCTGGCCCTCAGGGTTATTGTGAGGAACAAATGAGATTATATTTATAAAGTGCTTAACATAGTGTCTGGCCCATAGTAGGCACTATATAGATGCTTGTACTCTCCCTCTCCTTCTTTCCTTCCATAAATCTGCTACAGAGGATCTAGCACTCCAGAGGCTTTCAGATTCTGTTACTACACTTTAAAAATATTAGAACCCTTTAATTATTCAAAAATATATAAGGTGGGTTGTTTCTGTTATTTTCAATAGAGCTCCACATGTGAAACATGCAAGCAATATCAAGCACCCTGTAGGCCAGTGGTTCTTAAAGTTGTGACCTCAGGACTTCATTAAGTACTTAAAAATTTGTGAGGACCCCAAAGAACTTCTGTTTATGTGGGTTATATCTAGTGATACCATATTAGAAATTAAAATTGATAAAAGTTTTAAAATATTTATTAATTCATTTAAAATAACAATAAGCTTATTATGTGTTAGCATAAATAACATATTTTAATGAAAAATAAGTGAGAAGAGTAGCTTTTACATATTTTCGCAAATCTGTTTAATGTCTGGCTTAATAGAAGACAACATTCTCCTATCTCCTTCTGGATTTAATTTGTTTAGATATGTTGTTTTGGTTGAAGTATATAAAGAAAATCCATCCTCACGTAGACATGGAGTTGGAAGAGGGAGGAGGATTTTAATAGTCAAATAATATTCAATATTATGAGAATAATTTTGATCTAGATGACCCACTGAAAGGGTCTACTGACCACACCTTGAGTATTCCTGCTGTAGGCATTTCACAAATAGTAATGGAAAAACATGGAATTGATTTGAATTATGGAAGAAAATATGAACCGAGTCCTCTAAGCTTAAGCAAGCTTACTTAAATGGAGGGTGGGAAGAGAATTGTTTATCAGTTTGCTTTGACAGTATTAGTTCCTCCAATTTAAGGTTTAGATAAATGGCTCTTATTACCAAGTCTATATAGATATGAGCATACCCACTTTCTGTTGTTCATTCCTCCCAAGAGCTTAAAAATTCTCTTAGTACAACAACAACAACAAAAACTATTACTAGTGCTAGTACCATTACCAGTAATACTAGTACTAGTACTATGACGACTACTAGTTGTATCCTTTTCTAATGTTTGTACCTTGCCAATCACATAGTAGGCAGTACAGGGTTGTAGAGGGTATATGACCTGGAATGAAGAAAAACCTGTTACATAAATCTTCATTCTAATATTTACTTACTAGATATGAGTCTGGGCAAATCATTTACGCTCTTTGAGCTTCAGTGTCCCTGTATGTAAAACGGAAATAATATTTGTACTACTTACATTACAGTGTTGTTACAAGGATGAAAGGAGATGACGTGAATTACTTTGTAAACTTTGAGTTATTACTTAGATTAATATCACTTTAGGTAGGCAAAATTCTGTCTCATTGGTACCTAGTATATTATTCGTGATCAGTAGCACCAATAGGGTCACGAAGAATAGGGATTTTCATTTGTTTTACTACATTTATAGTTCCTAGTGTTGATTCATTCATATTTTTAAAACAGGGCACATGCTTTTTCTTATTTGGTAAGGCTGGTTTTTGTAGTGTGTATCATATACAGCAGACTATATTTTAATTAGGGAAGCTAGGTGGTACAGTGGTGAATAAAGTGCTGGTCCTGGTGTCAAGAAAACTCATCTTCGTGAGTTCAAATCTGGCCTCAGACTCTTTAGCTATGTGACCCTGGGTAAGTCACTTAACCCTGTTTGCCTCAGTTTCTTCATCTGCAAAATGAGCTGGAGAAGGAAACAGCAAGCCATTCTAGTATCTTTGCCAAGAAAACCCCAAATGGCATCACAAAGAGTCAGATGCCACCAAAAAATGACTAAACATAAAAAAAATCTTATAAGTAATACAGTTGCTATTACTATTTGACAGTAATAAAATCTTAGGATCCTGACTCTCAGATCATAGATTTGGACCTAGAAGGGACCTTAGAGGCTTAGTCCAACTCTCTCATTTTACAGATGAGAAAACTGAGGCCTTGGAGGTTAAGTAACTTGCCCAAGGTCCCTAAATAAAATACTAGATCTTAGGAAAACACCAGACCTGGAATTTGAATCCATTTCCTCAGAGGCCAGAGTCTACATGTAATAATTTAAATACAATCAGTGACATCTCAATAGTATAAATGATGTATTTTAAATATTTTTAGCCATCTAGTATATACAAGGTACTATGCTAGTCCCTGGAGACATGAAGTAGAAAATGAAATGGTCCCTACACTCAAAGGGCTAATATTTTACTGGTGGGGGGAGAGAGGGATGGATGTTTCAAATAGTCTGCTTCAGTTTGGTGCTGGCTCAATTAAAAAGTCGTTTATTAAGTGTCTGTTATCCTCAGGAACAGATGTGGATACAAAAACAAAAGGATGAGTAAATTCAAGGTAATTGAAAGTAGGATGAGAATGTTTAACACTTGGGGTACCAGGAAAAGTATCTGGGCCTGAACCATGAAGGAAGTTAGGGATCTCTATAGGTGATGGTTAAAAGGAGAAAGCATTCCAGGCTTGACAGAAACTCTGTGTGAAAGGATATGGAACACAGATAAACTATTTTAATGAAACAATTCAACATTGATTCAGAATAAATGGAAGAGTGCTGTTTGAGTAAGTGAAAAATCCCAGACTGAAGTATACTATATAAGTAATTACATAAGTTTAATTATTGTTGGGTAGTGCACACATTATCAATTAACAAGTGGGTACTAATAAGTAAAATACATTTAAAGTACATAAAACTGCAGCATAAATACAAAAATCCTTAACAAATTGTAGATTTTTGTTGAAAATGGTATAATTTGTTTAAATTAGTACAGTCTGGATTCACAAAGCTCTACTGTGTATGACATTTGACTTCTACTTAATTTGACAAGTAAAGTCACAAAAATATTTAAAATACATTACTAGGTGAAAATGAAGACGCGAGAGACATTTTTTAACAATGCTTGCTATTCAGTTAGACTCTTGGGCTAGAAACTTCAAAAGCTATTACCTGGCTGGGAGGGGGGAAATGTAGGAAGGATAGTGAAGGAAGATGATCTCATTCGTTTTTGGGAGGGTGCTGACTCTGAAAAGATATTTCAAAATAAATTAATTGGCATATTGTGAGGTTTTTTTAGGGGAAAAATATATTTCAAGCAGTTAAGAAAATATAGCAAGAAAATCAACATACTTCTTTTGAAGTTATTGACAGCTCAGTAGCTAATAAAATTCTTAGAATAAAATGTCAGTTACTAAATGGTCAACTTTAAATGAAGTTATTCTAACTGGAAGTTTTCTATCTTTTTCTCATTTAATGTGAACTGGAAGAGGTGGGGGACAATCAGTGTGGAACACTGCATATGCTGTGAGACTCAGTTGATATACTGGTTAATTTTACTGAACAGCTATTTTCTCTTTTTTGTGCTTGATTGTGAAGCAAGGCTTCCTGAGAAAGGGAGGCAGAGGGATGAGTTTATAAGGAAACGTGACATAAAAAGAAAAGATAGCAATTAGAACCAAAACACTGTTTGGAAAGAAAGTGCACTAGTAGAAGTAAAGACCCTACCTTGCTTGGTATCTGCTGTGTGGAAAGTGAAAGATGAAGATCGGGCACGCTTTCTTGAAGAGCCAGGGAGTCCTGGGACAAATGCAATGTGAAGAAGTAAACTCAGTGAAATCTTTCTTTATAAAATTATGGATTAGATACCAAGCATCATCTGTTTTATAAACATAGTTCAACAGTACTGTTGCTCAAGATATTTGAGGTATAATTTTAAGCAGTGTAACATTGATGTCAACAGCTGGGACATTATAAACTACAGGCACATCAAGTATAGCTACAGAATATTCATTGTGAAATAGTTTCAGCTTCATCAAAAAACAACATGATGAATCTGAGGGGAATGGGGACAGACATCTCTGCAGGCAGTGCATTCACAAGGCAGTATGGGAGTAGCATTATAAAGTTGCCAGTCTCACATCCACCATCTTTTCATGTACAAATGCACAGGGAAAATAATATATCAACTTTAAACACAAATGACAGTACCAGAGATGCATAATTCATAAATAGGAAACAATTTGTTATTAATATAATAGAGGTACACCAACATATTAAATTTGTTCCTTTTATATTGAGATTATTTTAGAAGTTCAGGAAATAACTTATTACCATGTTCTACTTTGTCAATAGTGTCTTCAGCTGGTCTCTGGAAAGAAACAAAGATGCCTGTAAGGTCTGGATTTTGCTTTTTCTGCTTCAGATGTGAATCTTTTCACTACATAGGAGAATCCCCCCAAACAGGTACATACAGTTTAAAGTAAACGATTAAGACAAAGCAGCTCTTTTCTCTCTTCCTCCCCCCTCCCCCCACCCCAGTTACCTGAGTGACAGTCTACAAGGTTAGGAGTTTGTGTCCAGGTTTCATGCCTCCCAGATTAATTATCCAAAGAAGGACCTCCCCTCCCCCCCAAAGAACAACCAAACAACAATAGCAAAATAGGATCATTCCTTGTTAATAATAGTGTTTCTCAAAGTAGATGATATGAATGTGATATTCAGAAAGATGATAACATTAAGCACCATTTGAAATCACTGAGATGTATCTAAGGATCTGTTATTTCAGTTTAAAGGACAGTACTGGAGATGTGAAGAACAAATCTAGAAGTAAGTAGTACCTCTTAGCAAGAGTTTCTTAAGCAGATTTCTTTGGTAGGGAAATACACCAGCAGAGAAGGAAGGGGGAAGTTGAAAGAGAAGAAAAAGAAGGAGAGAGAAGAGGGAGAAAGAAGGAAAATATTTTATCAAGAATTTACCTTAAAAGCCTGATCTCTGTTTTCAAAAACAAATACTGGCTGAGCAATAACATTTTTTTCTGGAAAATAAAAAGAATATTTTAAAAATTATGCAAAGTCCAAACTCCTCTTAACTGAAAACATTTAAAGAAATATTTGCATAGAAATCTATTTTCTCTCCTCTCGAAAAAGACCTCCAGAATTGTGTAATGTTAGAGCAGAAGATGAGTAAAACTAAGGTTTAGAGAGATACAATGACTTGCCTTGTCATCTGTGTAATTAGTGACAGAGTCAGCAATGGAACCCAAGTGTTTGCTCCCTGTTTTGCTAATGATCATAAAGCTACTTGTGTAATCAAGTCACATAGGACCTCTTAGCCTCCATTTCCACAAGTGTAAAAGGGGCTACTAATAATATTTGTACTATCCTCCTCCTCACAGTGTGGTAAAAGGTCCAAAGTGGGGGTAAAATATAAAAAGAGGATCTATTACTATTCCTTCACAATTTTATTGACAAGGCAACATGCTGTGTACAAAGTCTCAGACCTTCTCTACATCCCACTCCCCATTAATTGACAATACATTTTTTCATTTGATTGCTTTTATATATTAGACAGTTTCCCCTCATGTATTATTTGGGAAGCCACTCCTGATCAAACCTAGTCACTCCTGGGACAGTTAATGGGAATTTCATTTAAATGCATCTGGGAAATGTGAACCCCAGGGGCCGGCTGGAGTTTCAGGGGATTTGTAGAAGCTGAGAGTGTGTTCATGATCCTGTCCTCCAGCCAGGCAGGAAAAAGGAGGGATCTGGAGGAGGGAGTGCATGCCCAAGCTGGAGCTAAAGCAAGAACCCAGCAGGAGGGGTGGTGGCACAGGAGCTTCTAGTTCCAGCCTGGAGGCACCAGTTTGGCATAACCCCAAGGGCCCTGGGCAAGGCAGCCCTGCCCAAGCTGACCAGACAGGGGAAAAGACAGTCACCCCGTTCTCCTGGACTGGATGGAACCAGGCAAGTTCAGCCTCAGGCAGAGCTGCACAAGATGAGGTGTTGGCTGAAGTGGAACTGAGTGACTACTCCTGCAGAGGTACCCTTGTTGCCAAATGGGTCACCTCTAATTGCTGCCAGGACTGGAATAATCTGCACTGGCTATAGGCCTGGCATTTTCTCCTCCCTCCATTTCCTCCCCACAATGTCTCATTTCTCTGCCTTTGTTTCTCTTCTTTCTTCAATCTTCTTTCCTTTTCCTTATGTCTCATTTTTTCTTTCAGCATAGATTTAGAACTATAAGGGAGGAGGTTATCCAGGAAACTAAGTCCCAGAGAAGGTAAATAATTTGCTCAAGATTGCACACACAGTAAGTGACACAGCCTGAATCAGAGCCTGGGTCCACTGGTTCTAAATATTCTACTGGTTCTCCTTCACCCTTCTAGTGCACAGGTTCTTAACCTGGGAGGAGATCTCTCTAAATTTTTTTTTTATATTTTGATAACTTTCCACATAAGTGGTTTCCTTTGTAATCCTGGGTATTTTATTTTATGCATTTAAAAACATTATTCTGAAGAGTCCATAGGATTCACTAGACTACCAAAGGGGTCCATGAAAGAAAAAAACAAGGTAAGAACCCCTGCTGTAGTGTTTAACACTCTATCCCCTTTTATTTTCCTGGGTGGAGGTAGCCAGTAGAAAACTAAAAACTGTGGCTGAGAATGCTTTGGGGTGGGGTAATGTCATAGTCCCTCAAGATTTTCTCCTCTTTCTTCTTGTTTTTCTTTTTCTTGTTCTTGGCTCCATTTTCCTTTCTTTTTTGTCTTACACTATTTCCATCTTTCTTTCTCACCACCACATGTCTTTTTTCTTTGCAAATATTGGAAAACTCTCAGTCTGGTGATCACCCAGCTATGTGCTGGATGTTTCCAGAGTTTGTTAAAGACCAGTGTACTCTAATGGTGATCATCACTGTTTTGGGAGACACGTTTTAGAGAGAGGATAGTGGAGATCACATTGGGGCCTATCAATAGCTTCTTAACTTTGATAGCCTAGACTAGTTGGGAAACATAAAGGATGTTCCAAAATGGTCAAAGAGTCAATAAGAAATTAATGAATGCTTCAAACAGATCAAATAGCATGGCTGGAATTAATACAGAGTTAAGTCAAAGACCACAATGAAAACTTTGAAAGAAATGTCTACTTATAATATCAAAAATATTGATTTTACAGCAAATAGGAGGATTTTTTTCCTAAGGCTGTTGATAATTTCCTCTCTCATGTAATAAATCAATTTTATATTTCAGTGTCATATTTAAAATCTAATTTATAATTGTGGGTAGGTTTTTGGTTGGGTTTTTTTTTGCTTGTAGGAAGAAACTTTTGAAAACATAACAGCTTGAGGGCCTTTAAATATTAGGAACAGAGCTCATCTTATACTTCTCTGAAGTAACTATAATATTTATTTCTAGCAAAAACCTAGTCTGAGAGGAGGATTATGTCAAGTGAATTTGTCATGGCTCCATGATCAGCTAATAGGGATTTAGAACATGAACCTTCTTGTCTTTGTACATGAGTATATGTACACATGCTGAGTGAAATTATTATTTTGAGCCAATAGATGACTCCCATATAATTTCTGGCATTCCAATATCAGGCAACTCCTTAAGGGAGTTCTACTATCAGATGTTCTCACTTGTTCAGTAAAACCATGGAAGAGATGATTGTTTTAGAGAAGCAAAGGGATAAACTACTTCTGGGGTCCTTCATAGTGAAAGAAGGGGATGCTTAAGGGAGTTTGGTGTTAAAGCCTGCCTGTGGCCCCATTGAGGTGCTACATCCTTAGGTAGCAAAGGAGTAAATATACCCCAGAAAGTATAATCTTTAACTTAGTCTATATGTTGAATACCAATTCTCATCACCATCTGAAACTATTTAGTGGTCTTTTAGAGTGATCAAAAGAAATCAATTCAGAAGTAAATATCTAAGCTCCTTTATTTCTCAGACTTCCTTCCCCCTCCCCTTCTTTATGAGGAAAGATGAGAAGGGACTAATATAATTCCATATATGGAAGACACTGGGGCTCTTGTAAGACATGATGACAGGAAATGGAAGCTCCTGGCTTCTCAATTTGGGGCATATACAGGCATTCTCTAACTGGTTCTGGTCTGTTATCCACATGGTAAGGCAACAAACTATTGATCGGGGTACGTGCAAAAAGCACTAGTTAACTAGGATCTTCCCCTCAGTTGGTCTCTGTCCTGGCCAGCTGCAGTTTGGTTGAGAGAGCAATTATGTAAGGGGATAGGCTCTGGGCACTTTCCATCTGAGGCTGACATACACCCCACGAAATAGGCCTGTTTGCTCTTTCGCTCTTTGTGTTTGTTCAATCTTGTTTTAGGTGAAGGAGATTGGAGACGGCTATGACTTCATGAGCTACCAGAGTCTGGAAGCTAGAGCCCCAAGTGACTTGCTTGACCTAGCCCCAAAGTAGCACAAAAGCAGAATCATTCATCCTTTGGACATGCTGCATTTGGAAGTGAACTTGAGGGGGGGCAGCGAGAGGCTGTGCAATGCAGAAACTGGGCTAACTCTGAGCCCACTTTCCCCAGGGACTAAAGCAGTATAGAGGAGAGTGTACCCTGGGGACCGAGTTTGGGTCAAAAGGCTACACCCAAGGACCTAGAAGGCCACATGTGGCCTTGAAGCCGCAGGTTCCCCACCCCTGGCCTAGCCTTTTTTATGCCTAATCAAGAATCCAAAATCAGGAATTCAACTAGGTCCATAGTGTTAAAACTAAACGTAAGTCACAGCAAAAGTAGGTGTGGCCATGGCCATTGGATAAGGCCAGGAGCTGGATTAAACTAAGTTTGTATTAGTTAAAAAATCTGTCCAAGGGGTTTCTCAAATCCCACCTCTTCCTAGAAGACCTTTTAGGACCATTTCGGTCTGACAAGACTAAATTAACCTTCATTTATCTGCTGTCTTCTGGTCACTACGGCTTATTGTTGTTTCTCCTTGTTCTCAGAGGACTATGACATCAGGAAGGTGTTCATGTAAACTTCCTGAGGGCATCTCTCTTTCATTGTCTTTCATCTCCAGACAATGTGGTGAGTTTAAGACTAAACGTTCAATAATTACTTATTCATTGATTGACTCTGAACCATTTAGAACAGGGGGATAAGAGCTCCTTGTTCTAAAGGCATTGGCCAGACACTAAGGGGTCTGGGCTTAACCAGAACAAGGTGGGGTACATCCCAATCTCCCCATGATAGTCAATAATAAGGCTTGTCTCCAACACAACTTCTGCATCAAATAGAAATCTTCTGTTGGCATTCAAAGCTCTTTGCAATCTGGTCCCTCCTACCTCTTTAGTTTTCTTATACTTAACTCTTCTTTTTCTCCTGTACGGTCTGGGACCCAAAGACCCTGATTTCCTCACTATTTCTCACACAGGACACCTCCCCACTTTGCGTGTTCACTGACTGTCACCCATGCCTAGAATACTCTTCCTCCTACCCTCTGTCTCCTGGCGTCCTTCAACTATCAGCTAAAATCCCACTTTCTACAAGAAACTTTTCCTGACCTCTTTCATACTAGTATCTTCCCTCTAGAGATTATCTTCTTATCCTTTATCTTTTCTGTTCACAGTTGTTTACCTGTTGTTTTTCCCATTAGGCTATGAGCTTATTGAAAGCAAGGACTGTCTTTTGCTTCTCTTTATGACTTTAGTGCTTAGCACAGTGCCTGGCACATAGTAGGTGCTTAACAAATCCAAATTCCCTGGCTAAAAACCACACCTTCCCTTCTTGGGCACCATTCCTGGTATTGAGCTGCTTCTTTCACCATGCAAGGTCCCAACTTTTTGAGCCAGTCATCTAATTCTCAGGCAGTCATAATCTAACCTATATAGGGCCCATTAGCAGTATCTATACAGTTTTCATTGGGGAAAATCTTCCTATCACAAATCTCATTACATTATCTTTCTCCACTTCCCTTTTTAAAAAAATGCTTAGATCAGTGCCTGGCACATAATGGGTGTTACATAATTGCTAGCAGCTGCTGCTGCTGCTACTGTTACTATGGTTGAGGGTAT